GGGGGGGGGGGGGGGGGGGGGGGGCGTTACCGTGGAAGACTATATGCAGCACCGGTGGGAAAACTTGTGCAGGAGAAGGAAGAGCTGCTAGAGTCGGGTGGATGTAACCACATGTCAGAGAAAATGGTCAGAGTGCAAATGTGATTCTACTTGTGCAGTATGTGTTCAGATGAGGTCTAGAGGAATAACCTTAATAACAATATAGAACTAAAATGAAAATCAGAGACTACTTTGATAGAAGTTTGTGAAGCATTAGTCACCCTGTTAATTGTTATATTTCTATGTATAAGTCAATGACATAACTAAATGTTCATTATTGGGGAGACCAATTGTACAGCATTAATAATCTATTATTGAAATACCATTCTGTCAACCATTAATCCGAATATTGGTGTTTATGATGGTTATGACCCTAATTCAAGTTAATATTGCACACACAAAACAAAACTCTTTTTTTTTTCCTCTTCAGGGTGTGTTGTGTCCAACAGGCTGTGAGTTGAAGAAAACCCTCCAGAAGCAAGAACGTAACGTGAGGCCAACTGTAGATCAGCTCAAAAGATCTGTGGATGAGTTGACCCAGTCCACCAACTCTATCTATGGCTACGTCTTGGATATGACCGCAGAAGTAGCACAAAGACAAAGAGTCAGCGAGGGTAACTATACTTCATAAGAGATCTTAGAAACTTTTATATCTGCAAGTAATAGTCTATAGTGATCAGACAAGAACGATTCTTGATTAGCATTCCTATAGCTCAACTGATAATGCTGTGGACATGGGTTTGATTCTCAGGGAACACATAATCTGATCAAAAATATACATTAAGTCAGTAAGAATAAAAGAATATCTGCCAAATGAGTATTTGTTGTCTTTGTCAACCCATTTTTCATTTTTATTAGACATTCTCAATTATTAAACATCCCCCAAATCACTGTTTGTGTTCTCTCATAGGCAATGGTTTGCTGGTTGATCAGTACACAGACAGCCTAGAGACCCAGCATGCTTATATTAAGGACGCTGTGGATGTCACCTTCCCCCAAAACATTAAAATCCTACAGGGTGTGCTAGAAAAGATCCGTGAGAAGATTCAGCGTTTGGAGAAAGCCATCACTACTCAGAGGGCCAAGTGCCAAATGCCTTGTAAAGTCAGCTGCCTGATTCCTGTGGTTTCTGGCAAAGAGTGCGAAGACGTCATTTGCAAAGGAGGAGAGGAATCTCAGATGTACCTCAAACGGCCTGATCCACTCAGCTTGCCTTACAAGGTCTTCTGCGATCAGACGAGTAAAAACGGAGGTATGTCCACTTTGTCTTTTAAACAAACCCTTAACCCTAACATAATTCAGGATTTCAAAATCATGTGGCATGTTGAGGAAAGTTATGAGAAACATCCAATGCAGGCTCATTGGAAAAACGTGCCAGTAGTGACATTTCTGCAAAGTGATATTATGTTTCACAATACTTTCAAATTGAAATGTGAGTGGCACTATAAGTGCATTCAGTTTTATCCAAAACAGAAGAACGTCAATCTGGCAAATCGTGAAGTGAAATGTCCAGTGAAAAATAACGGAGCATCTACACTAAACCCAAACCTAAACCTAACCGAAAATGTGTTCAAAAACAAATGTAAGTTAAAAAGCACATTTGCTGAAGCAACCTTTCCATTTTAGCTTGATTCTACAAGTCGTTGAGCTCTTTTATCGTTACTCATGTTTCACGAGACTCATACCCAAGTGCTCCATATCACAAGTGCAGTGCTGTACCAGGTGAGCTACTGAGCAAGTTTACTTGGTCAGAAAAGCCATATGTAGCTGGTTATGTGATGCAAACTAGTTTACAAATAATGCGCTATGGTAAAAGTGTTTTTTTTTAGGTCATAACATAGTATTACGCAAGGAACTGTGCAAAAATAAATCTTTGTTAATTAATAATCTGCCCCGTAATCATAATTTGTGTGACAAGGAATAGAAGTTATTGGTGTTTTACTGCCAGTAGTGTTCATTTCAGTCAGAAACTGCAGTGAATTGTATAGGTATGTTTTTGGACTTTTGGAGCAAAAAATGTGTGTAGAGGCACGTTTTACCAACCATCATTATAAACTTCTCTACTATTTTAAAGGTTGGGTGCTCATCCAGAACCGTATGGACGGCAGTGTTGATTTTGGCAGGCGTTGGGACGACTACCGAAGATGCTTTGGAAACATTGCTTTTGATGTGGGCAAAGGCCACTGCCAGACTCCAGGTGAGCTACAGCTGGCAAATGATATGTTGTGGTTCTGCATGTGGGAGTTTAACTGATGAACCTGAAATATCTAGCCAATAACTTACAATTCTTAAAATTATGTGGTTAAACCCTGCAGAAAAGATCAATATGTGTTGTGTTTTGAATGCTGGTGTGCCAACTTCCACAACCAGTCAACCAGCATTACCAAAATAACTGGTGAACACCATGTCTACAAAAGTCCACCAGAACCAAACCAGCATAATCCAGCCTAGACCAGCATAGAAGTTCTAGAAGCTGGTCTTTTCAGCAGGGTTCTCAATCTCTAGATCACATTCACAGACTCTTCATATCGTCTCATTCTCTAATGAACTTTGTGAACTGTTTTAGGTGAGTACTAGTTGCGTAACGACCGTATTAGTCAACTTACAAAGATGGGTCCCACTGAGCTTCTGGTTGAAATGGAAGACTGGTCCGGTTCAAAGGTTTATGCTCAATACGAGCAGTTCACTGTGCAGGGCGAAGCTACCAACTACATTCTAGCAGCTGGACGTTACTCAGGAACAGCTGAAAATACATTCTTGGATGGCACAAAAGAACTGTTTGGAGAGAACCGTACCATGACCATTCATAATGGCATGATGTTCAGCACCTACGACAGAGATAATGACAAACGGTGCGTATGGTCCTAAAAGTTTGTCCGAATGGTGTCCAGATTGAAAACTGCATGGAAAAGCTGCGCAGTATCTAATATGTTCTTTCTCCCTCCAATTGTCTTAACAGGATACCTGGAGATCCTTCTAAACAATGTTCAAGTGAAGATGGAGGAGGATGGTGGTACAACCGATGCCACTCTTGTAATCCTAATGGGCGATACTACTGGGGAGGAGCTTATACAAAATACATGGCCAAGCATGGGACAGATGATGGCATCGTGTGGATGAACTGGAAGGGCTCGTGGTATTCGCTCAAATCTATCAGCATGAAGATCAGACCGTTCTTCAAACAGTTATAAAACTTCAAGTAAATTGAAATGAGATGCAGTAGATGAGATGCAGATGTGTCCACTCTTGAGTACATCCCCATTCTGTGGCACTCATTTAATTTAAGCTTTTTTGAGAATAGGAGAATAAAACCTGAACCTAAACATTTCAAGAGACACATGCATAAAATTGAGAATTAACTTGAAACGTTTGAGACTATATTATTGAAAATGTATATATATATATATATATATATATATATATATATATATATGGACACACAATCCAACTAATTCTCATTAAAGCTGACCTACAAAGAAATTACATGTGTCTTTTGTAATTATGTAATGTATTGTAATTTTGAGCATTTTGGCACTTTTGGGGACTTCATGAACATGTTGGCCTCTGTCTACTTTTAGAAAATAAACTTTCTTAAAACACTTTTCACACTCTCACAAGTTTATATGCATCACAGGAGAATTCTGTCATCTTTGTATTGAAAATTTCCACTATATCTCAACTGCAATATAACAAAGAGTGAAAAATTTAAGGGGGTCTGAATACTTTCCGTACCCACTGTATATATATATATATGGAAACACAATCCAACTAATTCTCATTAAAGCTGACCTACAAAGAAATTACATGTGTCTTTTGTAATTATGTAATGTATTGTAATTTTGAGCATTTTGGCACTTTTGGGGACTTCATGAACATGTTGGCCTCTGTCTACTTTTAGAAAATAAACTTTCTTAAAACACTTTTCACACTCTCACAAGTTTATATGCATCACAGGAGAATTCTGTCATCTTTGTATTGAAAATTTCCACTATATCTCAAATTGTGTTTCCAATCTGAAAAGACAGTTTAAAAAAAAAAAAGAAAACAAAAGAACATTCCTTGTTGATGTTGATGCTTTTGAAACTATTGTATGTATCCTAAACACAAGCAATTAAATAATAATTGTAAATGACACCCAAATGGCTGGAAATTATGCCCATTAAAATATTTTTGCTCACAGGTGATATATACCTTCATTTTTCTTTAACAAGTATACTAACTTAAAAAAAGTTTGCTGTGGTGGAAACATTGCAGTTTTAATGTGACCTTTATATATGTCACGAATCCGGTCCGTGGTTTTCCACCTGCTCGCCACCAGAGGTCGCCTTCTGATTACATTGACTCTCACACCACGCACACTGTTGCACGTCACCCTGGACTACATTTCCCATGCTCCATTGCACTGATTGGACTCACCTGCAGCCAATCACACACACACTATATAACAACCACTCAAATCCTTCTCTAATCGCTGAGTATTGTCTTCGTTTATCACTCTCCTAGTTGTAGCACTTTACAGAGCCAGTATCCTGTCTGAGTTTAGTCTAGTTCCTAGTTCTAGTCCTGTTTCGTAATGTCTAGCTTTGCCTGATTGTCTGTTCCTGATAACCTGCCTGTCTTGGATTTCTCTCTCGTCTTGTTTGGATTCTGTTCGCACCTCGCTTGGATTAATATCTGTCTGTGGATTACTCGCCTGCCTCATCCTTTGGATTATGTTCGCCATTGATCGACCTACGCCTGTTTATTGGATCACTCTTCTGTCTTGCCCTCTAAATACCTGTTTGCCATTTTCCGACCCTTGCCTGTTTTGACTATGTTTAAGAATAAAGCTTTGCAGATGGATCCGCATGTCTCTCGTCTCGTTCGCCCCGTTACAATATAGGCTACTTAACTAAAAGAAAAAAAGTGAAATCGTTAAAATCATCCACTGATAAATGAAAGTGACCAAAAATACATCTATACGCAAATAAAAATATTCATAGTCAACTCATTGCATATTTTCAAAAACGTTAAACAGTTTTGAGATATTTTATTGAGGTATTTAATACATTGTGTTTGACAGGCTGATTCCTGCTTGTTCGTGAAATGGCATTTTGTACAGTCTCTCATTCACATTTGCAACTAAGGCACAGCCATAGTACTATTTTTTGTAGCCTCTAACAGCATACCTGGAGTACTGGACATAAGTTAGATGTATACAGTAAAAAAAAGAAGGTGAAACTGAAACTGTAAACGTGATTTTGCACACAGTGGTCTTTAAATAAATATGTAGTAAATAGATAACAAATAAGCCACAAGAAATAAGGGCAGTATTTTTCAATAAACTACTCATATGCTACTAAACCAAACACAGTGTCAGATAACAATAATAACCCATATTACTAATCTAGATATAAATCTGATTAAATATCTTCCAGGAGTTCATCTAAAACCACCTGATGCTGCTCAATGTCTTCAAACTTTGTAAGCAGCTCAGTGCGAACAATGGGAATTTTCCGGTAAGAGGGGGACACACTGGGCCGATCAACAGACTGAAGTTTTAGTTTGTTGTTTTTGGAGAATGATTTTTGCCTCTTTGAGATAATGCTGAACTCCTCCATTTTGTTCTCCATAGCTTTGAAGGCTTCGTTATCAACGGCATGGTCAAAGGTTTGCTTGATGATTTTGATGACAATGTCCACCTTCATTCCAAAAATTGAACAAAAACAAGTTTGAATCAGGACAAAAGTTACATTTCAACTTCAAGCAAATAGTGAAATCCCTTACTCAAACGTTTATGCAGAACTTTTGATCAAATATATTGATTATGTGAGCCTGAATTTACTGACTTTCCAGTCAATAAAATAAACTGCAGTGGTTCTCAACCAAGGGGTTTTAATAAACTTCCCATGATACAGCAAAATACTTTTTTTTTTTTTTTTTTACCCCTTAGAGATATTTATTAATGTTATGAAGGGGGACCTTCAAATATAGATTTTGAAGAAGGTTGAGAACCACTAATATAAAGTATTTTGGCACATGTCTTACCTCAATTTGACGGATTTCATTTATCTGATCCCAGATCAAGTGATGGTGCTTCTGTAAGTCTTTTGCAAGTTCTGTAGACCGCTTGTGCAGGAATGTTACATTCTGTGAAGGGCTTCAGCAAACTCAGCATATCTGAGCTCCTGCACTGCACAGAGAAAATACCATGAGGCACCCTTATGTAGTTTATGTAGGTCTATAAAGCCTTTTGCTCCTATTAAATACTAAAATTGAATATTAATAAGATTTTTGTTCTGGGTCTTCTGAGTAATTTCTGAAGGTAAATTTAGGTTCTTGAAATGAATATTGTAAATAACATAACTGTTCACCACACTGGTGGAACCCTCCGGAGAACCACTCAGAACCCTTTCAAAAAGGTTCTCTGAGAAACAAGATAAGCTACAAGTTCCAGTCAATGATTCCTCCAGAACCTCATCATAAGGGAAAAGATATGAGGTTACGCATATGTTGAAGCTGAATCTAAAGCACCTTCAAAAGGATGTCTAGAGGTTCTTCTGATCGTTCTAAATCTAAGATGCTTCAGGTATCTTTTCATTTTTACCTTGTTTATAAAACCCTTGATTTGAGAATTAGATATAAAAGCATATAAAATAAAGAATGTAATATTTAACATACTATATGTCTGGATGATAGCTTTTCTTTGTGACCCATAAAACTGGACAATCTTTTGCATTACTGATGAAGTGGCATCCTGATTTTGTTGAACCCTTTCCCAAATATTTCTCAGACGTTTCTGAATGTCTTCATCTGCAAGATAAATAAGGCCCTCCAGCTGACACCCAGATGGACATTTATCGTCCTACAAAAAAAACCAAACATTAACTGTAGATTAAGATTAATCATTTGTTTATTTTCCTGTGCTAAAACTTTTCTTTACCTTTTATTATAAAATATTTAATAATATTTATCAGTGACTGTAATTTTTATTATTAATTTAATTATGAATTAATTTAAAAAACACTTTTTGGATGACAAGTGATCAGATTCTCCGAAATAACTCACCCTCTCCTCATCAGAGCACAAAGGGTGTGTTGGCCGTGCTGGACACTGTCCAAATCTGGTTAAACCATAGTGATTCTGTTGTTTAAGACTGGATTTCAAGACCGTACACACTGCAACAAACCACACACTTGCATTAAACCTAATAATGTTTATGCTTCATAGATGGGTGATCATGGCTAATGTTGAAATGATTGTATGCAATATACATATTAATAGGGTCATATCATACAATTGTAATGGTGGTAATGTTGTAAGCTCATTGTTGATGTGAAATCAGCTATCTGTGTATCTAAACCAGTAGAGCATGACTATGGGATTATTTTAAGCAGAATATATGAATGCACTCTCAGAAAAAAAGGTACAAAAGCTGTCACTGGGGTGGTACCTTTTCAAAAGGTACACTTTTGGTACTAATATGTACACTTTAGGTACTAATATGTACCTTTATGGTACCAATATGGACTCTTTAGGTACAAAGTTGTGCCTTTTGAAAAGGTACCGCCCAAGTGACAACTTTTGTACCTTTTTTTCTGAGAGTGTGGTTGGTAAATGCCTTTTTTAATCATTAGTGGTCAAAATGATATTATGATCTTTAGGATACACTGTCAGAAAATGCCACTGGGACAACCTTTTACCTTATATACCCTAAAGGCGCATATTAGGTGCTGCCCCAGTAACTTGTACCTTTGAAGGTACAATTTTTGGAGAAAAAAAAATTTCAGACTAAATTAAGCTTTATTTATTGAACATTTAAAGAAATCAAAATGATCTAAGTATAAAAGTACATTGTGCTTTTTTGTGGTTGTGAATTAATTGTAGGGTATATATTTCTAGAAAATTATTCTCAAAGCAGATACTTTGAAATAAAAACACACACTGCAAAATTTAAAGTGAACACATTTTTATTGGAAACATGAGGTAAGATGGTTGTGTGAAAATGGCAACATTACATATATAGATAAAAACTGATCATTCAAAACAATGGGTATCTTTCTTTTCCCCCCATCCCCTCTGTTTCACTGTTTAGACAGGTCTGACCTTCATTCTCAATACTTTGAGGGAGTAATCAGCTGGTTTGAAAGGCAGCCACACAACACCATTCTCAATCTCATAAGGGACTGTGGTGCCGGGGTCGTACTGGCCTCCTTTATAGTAAATCCCATTAAGGTTGGCTGACTGGCAGTTATTGTACCACCACCCTCCACCGTACATTACCGCACAGTTCTCCTCCCACTTATCACTGTCCCTATCAAAGGTGCTAAACTTCATGCCAGCATGTGAAAGGA